AGACATTGTAAAATTCATGTGCAAATGACTGCCTTATTATTTAAAAATTGACATTTTTGTAATTGATTATTGTATTGTTGTGAAATGTTTATTTGTGAATTGATATTCCATAAATTATGATAATTCCGTATTCTTGAATTTTTATAAGAGTTTTTCTATACATATTAAATTGGCAATTATGCTAGAATGCCTTTACAAACTGCTACCTTTCTAAATTTGAGCCCAAAATATTTGATTTGGTTATTTTTGAAATATTATAGAGAGTGACTGTTATTAATGGTTTAAGTGAAATTCATATTAATGGTTTCAGTGATATGTTGAGTACATGATATTGCTGCTTTCGAATGTTTAAAGAGATTTAGAAATAATTTAAGTATGCAAGTGGACTCATCCGGTTCGCCGGTGAGGTATAAGTGGACCTATCCGGGACGCCGGTAGGGATTAAGTAGACTCATCCGGTACGCCGGTGAGGTATAAGTGAACCTGCAGGGATTAAGTGGACCTATCTGGGACGCCAATAGGGATTAAGTGGACCTATCAGGACGCTGATGGGGTATATAGGTGACCTACTTGGGACGCCAGTAGGGTATTTTGTGAAATCTTTTGAATTATGTACTACCGTTAAAAGTGTTATAAGCATTTCAATTACTCGGATTATACTTAATTATGCATTTATTGAAAGCGAAACTGTTGATGCATTTATGTTAATAGATCTCATTTTGGAAAATATTGATATCTTCCAATCATGATTATTTTTAGAATTATGATGATCACTTACTGAGTAGCCAAACTCATCAAACTATGGTAAACATTTTTTCAGGATAACTACGGATTCATTTTGAGTGCTAGTCGAGATCAACCTTGGAAGATACTATTGTTGTGCTAGCTTCCTTTATTTACTATGTAAGACCTCGCCACTGTAAATTTCTCCTATCAATAGATGTATATATGTTTTGTCCGTCACATCTCAGGAATAATAGTATTGTAAATTCTTGGGGTGTGACAATTAATTAGTTCAATTTTGTTTGTAATCATGCGAATCTCCCGTGCCAAATTTGTTCTTGCTCCATATCTTTAGTCTTTCTTTAAGAAGTTGTAATTTCGTCGAAAAAATAAAACCACTTTCTAACCTTCCTTGCACATTGAATAAACATTTTTTAGTATTTAGTACTGGACATCTAAAAACAATAAAAAATATTCTATCATACAACCTAAAAAAATGGACCCGTTAATCATTGCGGGTCCGAAACTACCAAGAAACCCCAGAAATCCCTGAGGAAGGCACAAAAAAGAGTGCACCTACAAAGGAGCCCCAAAAAGACCCAGTCAACCTGAATTCCAAGTTTTGAAGCTTGATTTCTTACAAGAGGAGAAGGTGCATTCTAATTGATCACACTACTTGTTTCAGAATTCTCATCTTCCTTGATTCAACAATACCTCAAACATTCCAAGAGATAATCTTCATTTAAACTTAGTGGCTTTACCCCATATAGTTTTATCATACTGAATAGCAACGATCGAGTTAAAAGAAGTATCATTAACAAGAGACACCATCTCATGAATCAACTTAGGTTTCCCTTTTATTTTAACTACAACAACTAGCTCTTCCTCCACATCCAAACTCCTCAAAATGCATTTTCTATGACATGTATGGATCCATTAAATGATACCTTTATTTTTTTCAAGCGCATCACCCACATTCTTCTTAGTTTGGGCCACCCTCTTAAGAGTTATTTGGTTTTCCAATTAATAGCTTTAAGGACAATTCATTAGAGAAGAGTCTAAAGACTCTGTGACCATAGAATACATATTTAGGTAATATTGATGGGGGTACAAAACATAAGTCAACTACAACAATACCAAAAGAGCAAGGTTAAGAGCTAATGACATTGTTAGGACCCCATAAAGGGACCTTAATGAGCCTCTAAAATATTTTTTAGGCCACGTGTCATTCCTTAACTGGTCCTATAGTATGTTAATTTCAAATGAAATAGGTTATTCTAGATAAAATTAATTGTATCTCAAATAGGCCCTAAAATTACATATTTTTTAACAGAAATACAACTAAAAATAACTTAAGATCGTCAAAAAAGTTAAAGAATTACATAATCTATACGTAATACAAGATAATTACAGGACAATTGAGATACTAATATTGTCAAGAGTATAATATTAAATTGCATCCAAACATGCTCGTGCGAGTCTTCAATTAAAATGTGAGAGCGTCATCTAAAAATGGTATAATATTGAAGGGAAAGAACAAGTAT